TTTCTAATTGTACACTTCAAATATATGCTGTTTATTAAATGTCAGTTATATGTCAATGAAACTATTGTTTTTAAAAGAAGAGGGGGAAAAAATAACAAGTTGAAAGTTGATAGAGTTAAATGTAGAGGGAAGAACCAGAAGAGCAGGGATGAAGATGAGGTCATTTGACATCCTCAAAAGCTCATTGCCAACTGAGAGAGAAGTTCTAATGGGGCTGAAAGCAAGACTTGCTTGAAAGCAAGACTGTCCAGAGTTAAGGACTGAGAGGGTGATAGACGTATAGAAGCAGTGTGTGTTTACTGCTCCTGCATCAGTCCACCTATGTTGCCACAACAAAATACCACAGAAAAGTTTTTCTTCCACACCCTCCCTTCCCCTGCCCTTTATCATTACATTGTGCATGACAGCATATATAACCCACCTCCATTTGCTTATGCTGAACCACAATGAGTACCCTGCCTCGGTTTTTCAGACCTTGCAGCCATGAAATCTACCGGCAGTATTTCTTAACAGGCCACTCTACACAGAGCACTCCAACTAGCTAACTTGTAGAATGGAGAACTTTTTTCAGGGCAATTTAGACAACTGCACTTTATTCTGGAAAATAGTTACACTTACTCCCTCACCCTTAAATTGTACAAAATCTCTTTTCCCTTCCTTTTCTTACTCTCTCCTCTTCTCCCCTCGGTTTCCCTTCTCTTCTCTCCCTTCTACTCCAACCCATCCCCACCCCACATACTCAAGCATTTACATGTGTTTGGGGTCAGTTGCAGCTGTGAGATAATTTCACAGCGAGTACTACAGAGCTTACAAATCCAACAAACTTAATAATTCCATTCTCTTCGGTTTAAAACATTTTAGGAAACAAGTTCAGATCTGAGAAATCATGGTGGAATGGGTCCAGCCAGAAAAAGAAATTCCGGAATTGTGAATGGCATAGAAAACTTGCAGTTAGCCCCAACTCCTAAAGTTCCAGACACCCTCACTCATCCTTCGGAAAGATTCCAGGCTACCAAAAGGTACTTCACTAGGGATTTGTTTAAAATAACAAAAGTGTTCTCTTTTAAATCAATTAATAACATAGTATTATGGTATTGAAGGATGCCTAAGTTCCCAAAGTGACTAGCACGTGTTTAATTTTTAAGACCTTGTGATGAAGACCTTGTATGAACACTAAGTAGGCTCAACTTCTTCCAATATACAGTTTATGAAAGACAATTATCAATGGTTCCTTACTTCAACCCCTTTTCTCCTCTCTTCTCCTTTTTCCTCCTTTCTCTTTGTCTTCCCTCTCTCTATATTTTTCAAATATAGACAGAACACAAGGATCTCGGCCTCTCCAAACTTTCCGTGTTTATCTTAAACTGAAAAACACAGAACTAACCTTACTATTCAAGGGTTTTACTATTGCTTAGAATAATATGGTGCTGCATTATCAGAAAGGCACAGCCTCTACAGAGAGATGGCTGTAAATCAGGGAAGTCCTATTATGTCTTGACCTCTTTTCACTAAGACAGAGAGAGATATTTGTATTTTATAATAAATATTCTGACTATTTCCAATGATAGCTTAATTCTGAAAGATTTTAAATGGAAAAAATAATAAGCAAAACTGCTCTATTACCCAAGATGCCATTAATTTGACACGTGGCCAGAGTTCGAATAGAGTACACAGTCCTAACATGTGGATGGAACATTTAAGACCAATATGTCTAGCCAAGAGGACCCTTGAGAGTCCTCTTCAGTCTAGGGACCCCTGCAGTAGAGGCCAGGAGGGCACAAAGGGACCTAGGTAGTAAAAACACCGAGCCAGGCAACAAAGTTTGGAACAGAGGAGGGATTGCTGACACATGCTTCAGGCACATGGGAGCCCCAAGGAGGGTGGGGACACATCAGCATCCCCAGTGGCTATAACTGTAAACATTTGAAGAAGATGAAAAGCATGGAGACAGAGCTACCAGCTCTTCTGTTGCAAGGCCCAGTATCATCCCCAGGTATACCTGTCCTCCAGCAAGCTATTGAGTTGTCTTTTTATAATATGTCCACTTACTTGCTGCCTCTGTCTCTGTGTCAGATGTCTCTGTTCACTTGTCAGGGCGCCAGAGGCTTTTGTGTCTATTCAACTAGAAAAGGTGGGGCTGCGGGACATGATGCTGAACGCCTTCCTCCTCAGGAAACAAACGATGGCTGACAGAATGAAGAATCATGTGAGTTTAGTGAGAAGGACACATTAAATGAGTATAAAGCTCTCATTGTGTTTTACATTTGAGCAAATAAAAATTCTTAACTTGTAATCTGTTGCTTTCAGCCTATTTGGATAGGACTATTGAAAATATAAAGAACTATAAAAAGGGAATTCAATAAGAAATAGAGAGGAAGTAATTCAAGGTAATTGCAGTCTACTTTTAAAAATATGTACACTTTTCCAAGACCACATGTTATTTTGTCACTTTCTAAACACAACTAGTTTCAACACCTGCTCTGGAACATTAGCCCACTCCTGAATAACCCACAGGTGTTCAGGGGTTTAGACAGGTGAGCAAGGGCTCTTACTATCGAATTTATGTGTTATCTGGTTTTCCAGATGCTAATGCATGTTTTTATTTAAGGGTTTTTATGCTAGCATAATCTATTGGAAAATATTATAAAATTTAAGCCTTTAATCAGTTAAAAGTATTGCTTAATTTTGTGAATATCATTTCATTACTCATTAATTTTTTTGAGGAGGAAGTCATTAGACTAATATATAGTTATTCGGGAGATAAATCACAAGTCTACAACTCTAAGCTTTTTCCCTATCTGTGACTGAAAAGGAAAGACTTAAATTTCCCTAATCCAGTTCTACAAATGGGATGTAAGGGAGGCCAGACTTCTAGATTACTGCTGAGTAATAATGGAGGCAAAGGACTCCTTTTAATAAGTAATTGAGATATTCAATTGTCTTTTTTACTACAATATTCAAAAAATATTGACCAAGTGAAAAACGTTATAGCTCATTAACTGCTCTTCAGGATTATCCAATGCCTGTCAGATTAGAAGACACAAGACTCCTAGATCAGAGACAAAGAACTTTATGGCTCACAGCAGAGCAGGTGACATGAGCTTCATGTTTCTATCAGTTCCCTCTGCCTCCCAAGTCCCAAGGGGGCAACATGGAGGAGCCTAGATTCATGCACTGGGTTTTTGTCACAACCAATGGGTTCATGACACTGAGCTTGAGTTGTCACAACTCATTGGGTTCATGACACTGAACTTGAGGAATCCACCTCTTTTTAAATGGCAAGCTTACTATTTTTCCTGGAGGGAGACATTCCCTTATCCCTCGAGGTTGCTCTTTACAAACAGAACCCTGAGAAATGGCCCAGGTAAAGACTAGTCAGGGTCTTGCATTCTTGGCATACTCAGCAAGGTCTACAAGAAGGAGAGAGAACCACAGAGGCTCACAGCAAGTTGGCCTTCAGAAAGAATATCTCAACCGCATGGGCTTTTCCTGCCTTAAGTTTGCTATAAGTATGTATACATGTACTAGGATGGAGAGTTTTTATAGCCAGCCTTCTAATAGAAGAACTGTCATTCTCTTTTATCACAGGATGAAATTGGTAAAGTCAAGAGAGACGTTATAGTTGAATACTGTCAGAAGTAAGTATAGTATATATGAACAACATATGCTGATTTCTCTGACTGTGAAGTCAATAAACTGCAGTGTTACACAGAAATCCAGACAATGAATCAGGTGGTTGGTTTTTAAATAAACACACAATTCTCTTGGGTAAAACCAAACCAAACTATCCTCTGACACACAGAAGAGCATCAGAAGCGAATGCTAGGAGGTGCTTTGAAGAGGTCCATGCCTCTGCCTTCAGGCAATAGCAACCTGACCCAGATAGAACTTTCTTCTGGATGAGGTCCTCTATTCTCTTTGAAAGGTCTTTCAGGGAAGTAGATCTTTCTGGGAATGACACAAAAACTTTGGTTCACCTTCTGGATATCATCTCTTCTGACTTTTCAGACTGAACTGCCGTATGTCTCACTATGCTCTTCGGGGTCAGATCATGGCATACTGCAATAGCCTGAGAGCCCTGCTGGAAGATTTCCCTGCTATCAGGGACACCTTTTTCATTGTGGGGCAACCACGAGAAAAGAAAGGGTTGAGAGACTCCAAGGAGGGCCTCAAGGCTGACCCCAGGTGTGTAAATTCCTTTAGAGCTTTTTACTCCCAGCGGCACCCCATCCCCCACCCCCACACACCCTATGCCTCCCAGGGAAGAAGGAAGAGACATGTTACATTTGGTATGGGAATTGCTTTCTTTACTGCATTTGACCTTGGTCTTTTGGTTCAGAAGGGCAGAAGAAAGAGCTAACACTCCAAGAATAACAGTATCTTTGTATTTGAACCCAGAACAAGTTCTGTGTTTATGGGCTATTTCACTGCTTTTTCAATCTATGTAGTTTTGTTTTCCCCTGGAGATCCCAGAGATTTTCACCAGTCACATCCTTTTACATAAGCCAGCATCTAAAATGAGCAAACAAATAAGTAAACTTGATCTTGAGCTGTCCTGGCTTCAAATATTTTACCCAATGGAGCAGAAGGAATAAGAAACACACCCCCACCCCCCCACCCCACACACACAACATTGATACCCCAGTGCCTTGGATAAATCTGTCCTTCTGTATTTCTCTTACAGAGAAAAAAAAATGCATGTAGAATGATATTAAATGATAAGAGCAGAGCTGCTCCCATACTTCCTTTTCATGCCTTATCCAGTTTCTCAATTATTCTTAACTCACCTTGCCTAGAGTTCACTCAAGTAGATGGAGGAGTTAGCATACCTGTGCAGTCAGCAACCACATTTCCTTTTAAAAAAAAAAAAAGGTGGGGGGTATTACACGGTTATGCAGCCTCCAAGGGGGAGCAAAACATCCTGTAGGGTAAGCTTGTTTCCTCCTTACCCTTTCCCATAAGGTACAGAGCTTAGTGCCAAGTAATAGTGATATTCAACAAATATGATCATAGAACAGACAGATGAAAGGGAATTGAAAGAACATTTGTATCAGACCACTCTTTCGCTCACGTATTTCTTCATGCATTATTTAACTACTACTTATTTAGTGCTTACTTAGTACCAGACATTTCACCATGTGCCAGGGTTACGAAGGTGAGTAAGTCACGGACTCTGGCAGTAAATTCAGTCTAGTGGGGAAAAGCTCTGTGAACAAAAAAGTAACTTCAAAGATTTTAAAGATAACCTGCTAGAGTTATGCGAAATGTTCTGTGAGGACGCACAAGAGGGAGTGTTTAACTGTAGCCCAGGGCCTCAGGGAGAAATTCAAAGAGGAGGTGACAGGGCGCCTGGGTGGCGCAGTCGGTTAAGCTTCCGACTTCAGCCAGGTCACGATCTCGCGGTCCGTGAGTTCGAGCCCGTGTCAGACTCTGGGCTGATGATGGCTCAGGCCTGGAGCCTGTTTCAATTCTGTGTCTCCCTCTCTCTCTGCCCCTCCCCCGTTCATGCTCTCTCTCTCTCTCTCTGTCCCAAAAATAAATAAAAACGTGGGGAAAAAAAATTAAAAAAAAAAAAAGAGGAGTTGACAGGTAAGTTGGAACTCACCAAAAAAGAGGGAGAATGGTGAACAGAGCTGAAAGTACTACCAAAGATAACAACTTTGAGTTTGTAAGCCCTTGACTGACTGACAGCTGGCTACCAAAATAGCGACCAGGCCTACCTTATACTTATAAGGCACCCAGTTTGTGGATACCAGTGTTTGTCCCATGAGCTCAGCCAGTGCATTCACCTGGGTAGACTTGAGGATTTACCTAATGGAAGAATGCATTTAAGGGAGGGGTAGGGCAAATATACCTCAGCAGACTGACTATTTTGCTGAAGGGTTTGACTGGGCACCTGTTTCCCAATGAGGCTGAAGTGTCTTTCTCTCATATGAAAGATCACAGGACAATCCCCTAAGATTTCTTAGTTTCATTATTTCATCTACCCACTAGCCAAGGAAGCCATTTGTAAGCCTAATCTATGTTTGGGATCAAATTTTTAAAATAGTTTCCAGAACTCTAACCACAAGTTCACTACATTTGTGTTTAGGAAGTCTGTTTTTGTTTCTGATCTGTTTTATTTGAAGCAACCAAATGAGGTCAGGAAGTAGAAAAGAAAAAAAAAATCTCTCTAACTTGCAGGTCTTGCTCTATTCCTTTATTGTTTATTTTAGATGACTGTGTGTTTCCTAAAGATTAGGGGAAACAGTCATTTAAGGGGGAATGAGCCTAGCCAGTTAGTGTGTGGTAATTTCATGGCAGGGTTTTGGTCAATAAAAGTGTGAGCAAAGTGAGCACACACCCAGAGTCCAAGTCCTAGTCAGGCAGTGGATGAGCAGTGACTGATAATGATTCAGTATTTTTCCACTATACCTGTGTCCTGCTCCCTAAACTATCTAGACTTTAACATGTCCCTTTTACTGTACCTCAGAAAATGGAGCAATAGAGAAAGGAACTTCTGTCTTTTGTGGAAGTTTTGTAAACTTGAAGTAGTATAGAAGATTATTTCTAACTCCAAAGTCTGTGGTTCCAAGTACTGAGTATTCATAAAAATGGACATCAGCCACAAGGAGGTAGAGAGAACCATGGCCTGGGAGTTAGAATATTTAGGCTTTACCCAGCTTAGTCATAAGGTGCCCTGATGTCTCAGGCAAATTGCTTCTCTTCAATCTCTGAACCTCAAACTCTTCTTCTGATGAGTGAGGAAATGGAAGCAGCTCTCTGAAGTTAAACATGCTAAGATCTTTAGTGTTAGGGTGTCTAGAGGTTGATTCCAAGGAATGGAACTGCTATGGAAAGACTTCCCAGAAAGGGACCATTGAAGAAAGTTCATGAAATGATAGATGGGGATCACCCCAGGGCAAGTTTAACTAGAGATGTCCCCAGGACAGGGTTGGGGAATGAGGGTCATGGAAGACAGAGGTCCTCACTCACTGCATTCCTAAAATATGGAGTTGGATTAGGTGGAAGATAAAAAATAAGTTTTCTTTTAAATATCAGTTCTAACAATTAATGCCCTGCTGAGGATTCTGAGATGTTCCAAGCTTATGAGAGTGTTGTAATTGATTGGCGATGTCTGCCATGGCCAAAGACAAGGGAAAGGTGGCTTCCCTGCTTGTGTTTGCCATCCCTTACCCAGAAGAACCCCATGCATTTGGTAGGTTTAAAATTCTAAGACGCTACTTAATCCTTTAAAGGCTGTAATGTACTGTGTTTAGTTTTAACAAAGACTACCATATCCTCAAACCAAAGTCTCTCTAGAAGAGGAGCCAGAGGGAGTTCTCTTCCCAAGAAAGATGTCCGTTGAGGGCTCCTTGCTCTTCATGGCTCCAGAAGAGACTAGAATCTGGATACTGGGATGATGCTTGGCCACTCTCCAAGAGCAGTTGGCTGATGGAGGAGTGAAGAAGGGAGAGAGAGAATACTAACATTAATCGAACCCTTACTGTGTGACAGGTGGAGCCACCATGATCCCATATGGTGCTTTATGGACATTAGAAGAAGGCACTCCTTCTTCTGGGCAGGGTGTAGAGCTTGGCAAGCAAAAGATAGGCTGGATATTGACCACTGCTAGCTGCCTCAGGATACAACCTGAACAGCAGTACATGGCAACCTTGGTGCCAAGTGCTGTACAGCAATGGATAGACATGGTTCTTGCCCTTCAGACAAGGGGAAATAGGTAATTACAGTACACTGTGATAAAGAATAAGATATGATAAGAGTATAATGAAAGTATCCATCAGGAAATGTTCAGTGTTATCTAAAGGATTGGGGAGGTGGGGATGGGGAGCAAGGCAGGCTGCAGGGAAACGGGAATACTAAACCTGGGTCTTTAAGGGTGGTTGGTGTTTCAAGTGGACAAGGAAAAGAACTTCAATTCAAGCTGGGAGAAAGCACAGAGAGGTGGACTCTTGAGTGGCTCCCACCCAGGGTATGGGAGGATGAGCAATGGGAAGTAAAATGTACAGAACAATGGGCAAGATCCAGAAGTCTGGTGTTTGTCTTTCAACAACAGGATAAAGGGGAGCAAGCTACTGACACTGTACAGACAGGAGATGTTTAGGAGGTGAAATCAGTTGGCCAGGTGCTGGATTTATGGGAGGCTAAAGGAAAAGGAGGAATCTAGGGTGTCACCCAGAGTCTCTGACTTGGGAAAAAAAAAAAAAAAAGATGGCAGTACAATTATTATTTAATTGGTACAGAGTTGCCATTTTGGAGGATAGAAAAAGTTCTGAAGATGATGGTGATGACAGTCACACAACAACGTGAATGTACTTAATGCCACTGAACTGTACCCTTAAAAATGGTTACAATGACCAATTTTATGTTATGTATATTTTGCCACAATTTCTTTAAATGGGGAAAAAATGGCAGTGCCATTAAGAAGAAGAAATGTGGAGAGGGAGATAATGAATCACAGCTCAGGAGCCTCAGCTGTGAATTCGTCCAATAATCTCCCACTAGGTCTCAGATACTTCCTATTCTGGATGTTCACTGCACTTTCTTACACAGTTGACCCTTGAACAACACAAGTTTGAATGCAAGGGTCCGGTTATACATGGATTTTAAAAATTTTTTTTAACGTTTATTTATTTTTGAGACAGAGAGAGACAGAGCATGAACGGGGGAGGGTCAGAGAGAGGGAGACACAGAATCTGAAACAGGCTCCAGGCTCTGAGCTGTCAGCACAGAGCCCGATGCGGGGCTCAAACTCATGGACCGCGAAATCATGACCTGAGCCGAAGCTGGCCGCTCAACCGACTGAGCCACCCAGGCGCCCCTATACATGGATTTTTAATAAATATATTAGAGTATTATACATTTATTTCCTCTTCTTTATGATTTCCTTAACATTTTTTCTTTCTCTTCCTTTGTTATAAAAATATAGTATATAATACATATGACATACACAATATGTGTTCATTGACTGTTGATGTATCAGTGAGGTTTCTGATCAATAATAGGCTATTAGTAGTTAAGTTTTGGAGCAAAGCTGTGCACAGATTTTCACCTTTGAGGTGGGTCAGAACCCCTAACCCCTGTGTTGCTTAAGGGTCAAGTGTACTTCCATTACACCATGCTTCTATCATAAATCATGCTTGCATATCTAGCTGCCTCAGAAATGTAAGAACCTTGAGGGCAGCGGCTGCCTTCATTTCATATCCCAGGTGTGTACCTCCACCTTTGACGGGAGGATGGGGGTGGGGAGGGGCCCACAGGAAGTAGGGGGGGTTCCAGCCAGTAGCCTTTAATTCAATTATGTAATAACAGACCTTGTCATCATCTGCTGGCAGGAGTTTGGTATGAGGCTGAAAGAAGACTTGGAATTATTAGAAAAGGAAATGGGCATAAAAGCTGATCAAAAGAAAGAATAAGGGTTGTCCTGGGGTGACACTGTTCAGGCTGGAAACCATTTACTTGTTGTTGTATCAGTGCAATTAGTGGTATGATCTCCTCCAGCTGTGCTCAGCAGCATGCAACTGGAAGCAGAAAGCATAATAGCTGGTGAGATTCAGAGTTGGGGTTTTGCTAGGTAGCTGGGTAGTGAGTACAAAGAAGTAGAGACTGGAAGGTTCCTGTGCTCGACTGCAAGACCCAGTCTGGGCAGGGAAGGGAGTGAATTCAAAATGGAACTGACAGATGGAAGAGCTGAGGGAAGGACCAAAGGGCTGGATGACATCACGGAGCATATGTTGGGGGGATAAAGGAGGTTTATTGAGAGTGAGTGAGTGAAAAAACAGGGATAAAAGGTTGATATGGGAACTTAGGATGTTGAGTTTAAGTCTTTGGAGGTGATGTGGTCCCAAGTAACGACAAGGTCTGGAATGTGGCCCCCAAGTGAGTGGCTAAAGGAGAATTAAGTTTAAAGGGGATGATATTGAGCAGGTCAAGGAACTGGCAGGCTGGGGAATTGAAGGGTCATCTACGAGTAAGGGGAGGAATCCTCCTTGTAGGGCTGAAAACCAGGCTAAACTCCTGAACTTTGCAACCAAAACTTCCTGCTACTCTCTCTGCCCTTCCTCAGCTGCAGGCAGGGGTGGAAATGGAAGGACATAGTGGATGAGAAGTACAGGATAACACTTGGAAGAGGGCCCTGCAGCTCCTGGGATCTATATGCTCCTCAGAGGCTAAGGACTGGTTCAGCCATGCTGCTGCTGCCAGCCCCTTGGCCTGCAACCTCTGTGTGCTCAGCCACAGGCCTGGTGACTTTTTATTGTTGATATTCAATGTTTCTTTGGGGCACCTTTGGACATTGTGAACTGAACAATAGAGATAAGACTGGATTACACTGGCTTTGATCTGCTGCAGGACAGTATAGTCTGACTTTGTGGTTGCTGAAATAAGGGAAATTCTCCAAACTAACACCATCCTTTGTTCCCAAGCTTCAAATTACCTGATTAAAACGCTGAGACTTGAAAGGTAGGTTTAAAGCCAATGATTCACCTCACGTAGAGTTGTAATGATTTTAAAAGTCTCATACTCAGAATGTTTGATATTGAAAACATTCAGCCCTCAGGTAAAATGAATTACATTTTACTTCAGTAAGTGGAAGGGGTCATCTGAATCTCTCCCAGCGACCCGGAAACGGTAACAAGAGCCAAAAACCACCCCTATGGTTTCCAAAATGTCCCATAGAAGGTGAGACCCTCCCACTGAGAGTCCTTGCTATCGACAATGGAAGTGGGAATGAAAATCAGGTACAAGTATGAGGGGATCATGAAATCAGTAGGACCTGAGGAGTAAAGGAGGAGGGAGGGTCTAAAAATGACTCCTTGATTTCTGGTTTTTGGGACTGGGGGTTGTGGTTCTTTTAACATGGGAGGAGACACAGGACTGGGGTGGAAGAGGGTAAGGAGTTCAGTTCTTGCTTTTTTTTTGCTTGAGATGACCTGAAGCACTGCCAACCAAAAGGAAGCAAGTTGGAAGCCTGGAGCTGTGGAGGGGACCAGGTGTGCAAATGTGAAGTCAGATGTCACTGGCGAATAGATGGTGGTTTTGGCCAGAAGAGTGAACACAGCTGTCCAGGACTAGGGGGAGAGTAGAAGGCTGAGGTGGACCCCAGGGGCCCTGGGCAGGGGACGATGTGAGGGTGGGGGCTCCACACCCACTGCACACCTCCTTCCGCTGTCTGTCTGTCTGTGAGGGCTGCCTTATCTAGCGTAACCAAGACAGGCCTGAGGTGGCACTAGTCTCTGGCCTTTCCCTGTCACCCTCAATTCTACGACATCCTCTCATTAGCATGGACAGGTTCCTACTTCTTAACAAATAACCCTGGGGGTTCCTATGTGTCTCTCTACCAGGGCACAAGCATCCCTTGCTCCCCACCCAGCCTTGGCCACTGCTAGACAAACTTTATGTTATAATATAAATTATGATAACAAACTTTGTATAGCACCTCACAATTTATAAAATACTTTTCACATGCTTGGCACTCTTTTTTATCTTTAGTTTGTTTTTTGGTACTTAAAAAAAGTATTCCTTACACCAATCCTGTGAGTTAGGAATCATTATCCCCATTTTATGTATGAAAAGACTCAGATGGTAATTCATCTAAGGCCACACAGCTGTGGGTGATGGAAGTTGGTCTCAAAATGGGGTCCTCTGATGCTAGAACCCACACCTGTTAACTGCCCATAGCACCATTTTCACACCAGATGAACACAGTTAGGCATAAAGGCATCGAATCCATTCAAATGGGAAACCGCTCCCTCACCCCACCCTCTGTGACAGTGGGCCACTTAAGTCCTGAGATGATATAGAAACCAAGTCAAGATGCCAGCTTCCTCCAGTGGGTGTAATACAAAGATCACGAGCTTCCATTGGTATGAAGGTCGAAAACAGGCAAAACCCAACAAGATAATCTTTTAATGGTTTATTCACCTGTGGTAAAACTACAAGGAAAAACTAGCATTGGTTAATGTAAAATTCAGGATGGTGATTTCTCAGAGGGCCATCAAAGGAGCTGACGACATTCTATTCCTCAGGCCAGGTAGTAGGTAGCTGGGCTTGTGTAAATTCTTAAACCAGACATACGTGAATTATGTGTTTGTACATAAACCTGCAACAAAGAGACAGCTATACTGCTGCCTACAAATAATAAGGTATTCGGAGGAAGAGGAGAGCACAGAGGGAAAAGAAGGAAAAGAAGGCAAGAGTCTGGAGAAAAACATGGCAGGCTAGGAAGGAAAATAGAGGCAGGTCTCTAGAGCCTGGATTCTAGACCCGGACAGATCTGCATTTAAATCTCAAACTTCATCTCTTAGGAGCTGGACAGGCAAGATCTCAGAGTGCCTCCGTTTCCTCATCTGTAAAAGAACAAAAGAGGTACATTCCAAGGTTGTCATAAGAATTAAGTGAGAAAACATGTAGCGCCTAGAATGATGTTAGCCACCTAACTCACGTTCTCCCTTTGCTTTCTTACCTCACCTCTCCCTCGCTCCGTGCCCACTCCTTCCGCCAGCACAGCTGAGTCTAAAAGCAGCCCCACTGCTCTTCTCCACAGTTATTTATAGCCAGGGCCACCTGTGAGCGGCCTGGAAAGGAGGCCTGCTGGCCCAGGCTCCGACGCCCGGCTCATGTGTCACCACAATCCAGACTCTGGCGCTGCGGCTGAAGGGCAGTGATATAAATAGTTCACGCTGGGGCCACCTCTTTTTTAGAGAGAAATGCTGTGCCTATCCAAACTTTCTTATAATGCTGCAGGAGTTTTCAGCCCCGGCCACGATGTTTGCTGTCTGCTGACGGGAAAGTCTTCCTCAATTTATGGTTCATACCCCATCCTTCTGAAGTGCTGGTTATGTTCAAAACTCTGCCAGAAAAGGTTTGTATTTTTTTTTTTTATGTGTACCACAATGAAAACTGGCTGAGTTTTTTGTTTTGTTGTTGTTGTTTTTTTGTTTTTTAATGTCTTGTGGTTAATAAGCACATCAATTTCAGAGAACATCTCTTGTTTTTTTTCCAGGGATATCTAATAACTGAAATCTTCACACGGCCCCCCACTATTCTTACCTGCTTTATTATTATTTCTCTTAGGCCTTATTATTTTCTGAGTTCTGTTTCTCCCTGGTCATTAATGAACACAATTCAAGCTTCCCACATTCCTTATTAATCCTCAATTTCCTCCCAAACCCTTCATGAAAACGCCACTCTGATGCCCTGAAGCTAATGACAGGTCGAGATCACAATCCTGGTAATCAGCCTATTTTTTGAGGGGTTGCTCTGTGTGCCTATCTTACTAGTAACCATTAAAAAAAAAAAGGAGTAGATCTAGAAATGCACAGGGCACTCATGTATTTACTAAGTACATGCCATTGAAAAATGGCAATTTGGAAACATTCTAATTTTTCTGTGTAAGTGAACACCTATTTAACAACCTAGGTTTCTTTCCCTTTCTTTCCCCATGCCCCAGCTTTATTGAGATATAACTAATAAATAAATTGTATATATTTAAAGTGTACAATATGACATATGTGTACAATGTGAAATGATTACCATAATTAATGAACATACCAATCACCTCACATAGTTACCTTCTTTTGTGTGTGGTAAGAACACTTACCTGCTCTGCTAACAACTTCCAGATATGCAATACATTATTATTAACTATAGGTACCATGCTGTACATTAGATCCTCAGAATTTATTCATCTTCTAACTGAAAATTTGTACCCTTTGACCAACACCTATCCATTTCCTACCCCTTGGTAACCACCTTTCTATGAGCTCAACTTTTTGTTTTTTTAGATTCCATATATAAGTGAGATTGTACCATATGTGTCTTTCCTATCTGGCTTATTTTACTTACCATAATATTTTCCAGGTTCATCCATGTTGTTGCAAATGGCAGGGTTTCTTTTTTTGTTCATGTCTGAATAATATTTCTCTGTGTGTGTGTGTGTGTGTGTGTGCACACGCATGTGTGTGTTTCACATTTTTTATCCATTTATCCATCTACTGGGCACTTCAATTATTTCCATAGCTTGGCTGTTATGAGCAATGCCGCAATAGACATGAGAATGTAGTAATCTCTTTGAGATACTGATTTTGGATACATACCCAGAAGTGAGAGGATCATATAGTAGTTGTACATGCCAAAGAATGAAACTGGACCCCTCACAAAATCTTTCACCTCTCACAAAAATTAAGTTGAAGTGGATTAGAGACTAAAAATAACATCAGAAACTCTCGGAGGAGAATGGGAAAAGCTCCTTGACATTGGTCTTGGTGATGACTTTTTGGATATAACACCAAAAGCATGGGCAACAAAAGCAAAAATAAATAAGCAGAACTACCCCCAAACTAAAAAGCTTCTGCTTAACAAAGGAAATAACAAAAATAAAAGGCAACTTACAGAATGGGAGAAATATTTGCAAACTATGTATCTGATAAGGGGGTAGTACCTAAAATATGTAAGGAACTCCACAACTAAACAACAATTAAATCTGATTTTAAAATGGGCAGAGACCCTGAATAGATATTTTTCCAAAGAAGACCTACACATGGCCAATAGGCATATGAAAAGGTGCTCAACAGCACTACTCATCAGAGAGATGCAAATCAAAACCACAATGAGAGATCACCTCACACCTGTTAGGAGGGCCATTGTCAAAACACAAGAGACCACCAAGTGTTATCAAGGATGTGAAGAAAAGGGAACACTTGTATACTGTGAATGGGAATGTAAGTTGGTACAGCCATGATGGAAAACAGTATGGAGGTTCCTCAAATAATTAAAAATACAACCACTCTTTCTTTCACTGAAGAATTTTATGTGTTTTTAAGATATACATAAAAATACTACCTTCTTTCAGTTAGATCATACGTTTCTACTTTTTCTTCACTTGAACATTAATATTTAAGATCCAGGGTTTAGGTTGCATGTTTTAAAAACATTGAAAAATGTCTATGCTTTGCTTATAGGTATTCCCTCAGGGCAATGTTGTCTGAATATGAGTTCCTGCTAGGAATTTATTTGTGATCCTCGTAACCTATCAGTGGTCATACAAACACATTGTGCTGTGTTCATGGTCACCGTGGTTTCATTTTTTTTTTTTAATTTTTTTTTTAACATTTATTTATTTTTGAAACAGAGAGAGACAGAGCATGAACAGGGGAGGGTCAGAGAGGGAGACAGAATCTGAAACAGGCTCCGAGCTGTCAGCACAGAGCCTGATGCGGGGCTCGAACTCACGGACTGCGAGATCATGACCTGAGCCGAAGTCGGCCGCTTAACTGACTGAGCCACCCAGGCGCCCCTGGTCACCATGGTTTTAAACAAAGAGAAACACATTGCTTTAAATGCCTCACTCCAGGACTTACCTTGTCCAAAGGCATATACCCTGGTTCATGAATAGTTTTGTTGTTCTGTTTTTTAGATACTAACCTGTAATTATTATCCTATATTATATCGTGAAAATGTTTAACCAATATTCTTATTCAAAGATATTATCCCCATCAATGCTCATATATTTTTATATGTGTCTTAGAAACTTCTTAATATTTCTTTGTGTTGGTTATACCCACAGGCAGCTTTTCAAGCCTTAAAGCTAACTCTACAGCTGATAGCCCCTCTCCATGACATTGTGGCCTACCTTTTCAGTTTTGCTAAACTTGGAAATTGCTCAACATGTGTTAAATTTCCTCTAAGTGCTAACCCTTTGAAAGGTGACTGGGGAGGAACTGAGGGCATTGGTAAGTGATTAAAGGTGATTCAAATCACCTTCAATATTCGCTTGAAATTCTATGAAGCTCTTCCTGCGCCCCCACCGCCCCAACTTTACTGCAGTATAATTGGCAAATAAAATTGTAAGCTATTTAAAGTGTACAATGTGATAACTTGATATGCTCACACATTGTAAAAAGATTTCTCCCATCTAGTTAATTAATATGAAGCTCTTAATACTTGGAAAGACAGAACTAAAATATTTTTTCATAAATGACAGTGAGAAGAAGGGCAAAGGGCAAAACGTCATAATATAGTGTCTCCAAACTAATTAATTCCACATTTATAGGCTAATCCATAAGGTAAAGCAAGTCAAGAGTGGCAAGCCTGGCTTTTTACCCTGTATCGGCCACTTGGTTACTGGAAACGGGACATTTTATTCTGTGGATCTTTGTCCATCTATAAAATTGGGATGATAATACCTGTTTCATGGAGATGTTCTGTGGATTAAAATCTCTGTAAAATTTCTACAAGAATGTACATCCCCCTACTGCACAATAGTTTTATTTCATTCCCTTTCTGGCCTATGTGAGCTAACATGTCAAGGTCAGAACCAAGCATTTATTGTCAAGAATTCTTGCAGACAGTCCTCTGTGAGCTAACAGTAGCTTGATGGTCCTGAATGATTGAGGCTTTAGTTTTATTTGCCAAGTGCTAATCCATAAACCCTAACTAAGCACTAAGTTCTAAGATGAATGCACAAGGTAAATTAAAGACTCTGAAATGCTTAGTAAGCTGGGTTAATCAAAAGTAGGGAAACTGATCTTGTTATTTTAATAATTTGACTCCCAGTCAAATTATGTCATTAGTTAATGTAAATGTGATAACATATTATAACAGAGTAGCTAAGGATTTTAATATTTTTTGACGTTTATTTTTTAATTTTTTTTTTCAACGTTTATTTATTTTTGGGACAGAGAGAGACAGAGCATGAACAGGGGAGGGGCAGAGAGAGAGAGGGAGACACAGAATCGGAAACAAGCTCCAGGCTCTGAGCCATCAGCCCAGAGCCCGACGCGGGGCTCGAACTCACGGACCGCGAGATCGTGACCTGGCTGAAGTCGGACGCTTAACCGACTGCGCCACCCAGGCGCCCCTTGACGTTTATTTTTGAGAGACTGAGAGAGAGCACGAGCAGGAGAGGGGCAAAGAGAGAGGGAGACACAGAATCTGAAGCAGGCTCCAGGCTCTGAGCTGTCAGCACAGAGCCTGCCGCATGGGTTCATTCAAACCCATGAACCGTGAGATCATGACCTGAGCTGAAGTCAGACGCTTAACCCCATGTAGCCAAGGATTTTAAAGGATGAGAAGAGCCAACAAAATGAGCTAATAATATGCCTATTCTAACCTAGTGGTCTTCAAACAAGTGTAATATACTCTGAATCTATTCCTCTCTGGCCAGTGTATAAAGGAAATATGTTTGTGGGAGACCCTGACTTGTTTGCTGGTAGATTTGCATTGCGCTAATGAGCACGGAAGGAATCTGTAAACATTCAGATAGGAGACCCTAGGGGAGCGTATGAGTGGTGATCCTGGAGGAAGATTGATGCCTGTATCTGAGGACAGGCAGCATGAAGAAGGGATGGATTGGTGCTGACTCAGCAGAAAACACAGAATTTTCACAGGCTAATGAGATTGCAAAACTACTAGCAAATCTTCCATGTAAGAATCAAGAGAAGAAAGAAGTTCCAAAGCATGCTTAGAGCCTTTCCTTTTACTAATTCGGGGACTGTTATAAAAGGGGTTTACTCAGAAAATAAACTAAGACACTCTTAGAGGAGCTGCTAGATTTGGGGAGGGTATGGGGACCGGGCTTTAGATGAGGGACAGGAGAAAGGATGCCATCCCTGTCCTTGAGACACACGGAGATGAGATAGAAGCCTAGATAGAGCCAGAGTCATCTTTCCATAGAGGCTGCATAGGAACTTCTACAGCAGCTGGGAGGGCGGAGCCTGCGGGGAAGGTGATGTGGGGGGTACTTGCCCTCACTAGAATCAATGGAGAAGACTAGGAGGGATGGTCCTGGTAAGACAAGAAAAGGACTCTGGCAAAGGTGACAGGCAGACTGCACATGGCCAGTCCAGAGAATGGCGTACCTACTGGTGTGACACTGAGGAACAGTAGGAAATGAGGCCAAATTGTTGAGGACCTGGAATTCAGGATGAAGGAAATTGGTTTCTTACTATTTATATGCTTATGAACCAGAAACCATTGAAACATGTGGGGCCCAGGCTTTCCAAGGTGTGCAATTAGAGGCATGCACCCTGTCATGTTGCCAGCAAAAACATTTGTGCTCCAGGGAGAATGTGCAAAGTTTTGCATACTCTGCTGAAAATAGATAAAGAGCAAACTGAACTAAAAAAAGAAAAATCCCACTCTGTGATAATCATCTTTTTAAAAAGCCTAGGTTGCTCAGTTCCTGGCCTGCTTCCCAGAGGAGACAAGGAGAGCTAAGGTGAAAAGAGATGGGTCTGTTCATATCCTTGCCCACCTCCTCTTGGCTATTGCCAAGCTATTTGGAGTTTGACTTTTGTGGGCTCATATGCTTTAAAATAATTTTTAAGGGGACCCTCCAGATCTCAGCTTTGGCCCTGCCATTTGACTGAGGAAGCAGCTCTTAGACACTGTGCACCAGCTCTGTGGACCTGCCCAATCCTTTCCTTCCCTGAAAGTCAGCAACTCCCTTTGGAGTCAGCAGAGGATGTAATCAGCCTGTGGGAGTTTACACTGTGATTTCCTTGTAAAGGTTTAGGAGGCCAATTAAAGCCCAAATACTGTCCACTAAACTTAGAGTTTCAGGAACTCTAGAGACAAGCTGAGAACAAAGTGTGCTGGCTCTGAGTATTCACATGGAGACAGGGCCACTATGATTTCAACCTCACCCCTCCCCTGCCCCCACTTCTCTCTCTCTCTGATTTCCCAAATAGGACCCTCCTGGGGAAGTCTCATTTGTTTCCTGATGTTTCCTGGCTCAGGGTCTCCTCCCAACCCCACCACCACAACTACATGGTAACCATCTGCCCCATCCTCACAGTCAGGCTTTCTGCCCTGCCCGCCAGCCACCTCCCCTCCCACCAAGCAGCTGCTTGATGCCATGAGGCAAGGGAAGCCTAAATGAGGATGGTAAAGTCAGTTAATAACAAAGAAAGGGTAGTCCCTACCTCTGCATCTGTGTTTTAATGATAATACTACCTATCAACAGAACAATTTTGCTGGGAAGTGATCATATAAACATGCACACACATCACGTATATGAACAACAATGGAAATAATGAAAAGAGAACGATTACCTGCAATCCAACCATTCTAACAAGTGAGATATTTTTATTTACCTTTACTGCCTTCTAGCCCTTGTCCAAACACACTTTACATTTCACAGAGCTTTAATCACGGGGTATATGCAACTTTATATTCCTTTTTCATTGTCATGGCAGAGGATTATAAACCATTCCCCCCTGGTTGCTGCTTCACCTGACAGCATGTAATGCTTGCAGACCGTCCCACTAGGCCTTGAACAAATAAGGTTCACTGATTACCACTAAATAGGGCTTCCATCCACCACCAAAATTCTTGTGCAGTTCACTCTAACATGACCCCTCTTCTGGAGGAAGTTTCTTTTCAGTCCGATATGACCATCAGATTTATAGAGGAGTCATAAAAATTTTGGTGATTGGGTCCAATTTTGCAGCGGCTGGAAAAGTACCTAAAAACCATTTTTCTCTTCTTTGTAAAGCATCAAATGGATATGAAATCTGGACTTCTCATGTTTTCCTAAAGCCAAAAGCATATATCACAAGTGTTAGCAACTATTCTCAGTCCTGGTTCTGCCCTGGTCAGGCTCTCATGGACAGCTTCCCCATTCCCTCAATTCTTCTTTCATCTAGAAATGTGGGAAGAAATCCCATGCCAGGACAGATAGGGTAGAAGGCTGCTCAAGACTGGACAAGCTATTGAGAGAGTAACTCTGCAAATGCCTCATGAATATCCCATCTGTCTTCTGCCTTGGGCTACATATCAGGCACAGAGATCAGTTTCCATAGTCTTCTTCCCATAACTGTGATGTCCTCTCAACTAGAAAGCTATCACTGTCCTCACTGGGAGTTGGCGAACATTTCAGATCAGCTGACATTCCAATAGCCCTGGAAGTGTGGGCCCACCTACTACCCTACTAGTGTTCCCTAAGGACTCATCATTTTCTTGCTTTGCTCTCCCATTCTGACTAACTCCTCTCCTGGGCCAATAATAGAGATGCCATTAAGTCATCTATACCCAGGCCAGTTTCTTCAACCCAGTACTGAGTGTTGCAAAAGGTCCCTAACTTAGATTTCCATTCAAAACACATGAAAGTCTACTTATGTCCAGTCCACTTTTGCAGTAAGGATCCAAGAAACAAATCAGTTTAGAGTCTCTCACACCTCCTAAAATGATGATAATCTCCTAGAAGAAGGTGTGTGTGCATGTGTGGTGTGTGTGCACACATGCACACATATGGGTGTGCATATTTCTTGCTTGCCTTAGATGGTCTTGAGTCTTCTTTAATCCATGAGCCAGTGAGAGAATGAGCCAGTGACAGAGAGGCTGATTTGTATGGCATGGTTGTGGGAAATGAATGCTGGTTTGTAATCTATAATAACTTCAAGCCCCTAACAGCTCTACTGAGACCTATATTTTCCCATTCCTTGTCATTCTTTTATTCAGTCTAGAGGCTATAGCCTTGTAAAATTTAAAACTTTCATTCAACAGCATGTTCTTATTCTGAAAAGCAAAGCAAATTTTTATCTTATTGAGGGAGGAAGGAAGGAAGGGAAGATAAATCAGACCTTGGGCTCTACAATATAACTTTGCTAGTCTTGCAAAACATATAATTAGCACGTTCACAAACAAAGAGAAGTACATTTAGGTAAAAAGTAAGCTTTGGAGGTGAATGATGGCTCATTAGGTTAGCCACGGTAGCCTGTAGGTCACACTATCTGACGAAAATGTCATCCATCTTCCAGGGTCTGAGCTTCAAGAACTGCAGAAAATGATTGACAGCCTCCAGAGCCCCCAGGACCCTGCCCACGTGTCCCAGGCACTCCTCCTTCGAAGGGAGGTTATATTTTTGCAGTTTGATGCTGCGGTGCGGCACCTCATCCGGTAAGGGCTGGAGCGCCGGATCCTGTCCAGTTCATTGTGTAGGGCAGGTGCTTCTGAGCGACCACTGGGGGAGGCCACTCTTGGCAAGATTGAATACCGAGCTTAAAATAGGGCACAACCTGAGCCAGAGCACTGTGGCTACCGAAAGCATTCTGCTGCAAAGGCTGTCCAAGCAGCGTGTGTTCTTGTCCGATCATAATATTCTCAATGTTATTAAATGTGCCTTAAATACAGTTAGTTTGCACAACCATCACTGCTTTCAATGTTCAGGCTGTTGAATTGGGAATGATGTTTTTCATACCTCTGAAGATGATTCTAAGAGTTTTGTTTATGTTTTTCAGCCCTTAATCACCTTTCAAAAGAACAGAATTTTCACTGCACGTGTGAAGCCAGTGGAACTGGCTGAGTTAAATTTATAAATTCAAATAAATAAATTGTGGGTATTAAGTGTTCTGCATACAAAAAAGAATGTCTATCTGGTTAATTAATCATGACTGATGAGAAAATTAGTTAGGACTGAGAGTCACACTGTTTCTAGGATAAATAATAAGTTTTGTATGGGAAGGGAAGAGGTCAGGCCTAAGGGTCTCTGCTTACTCTTAAATCGTCAATATCAATTAACTTCCTTTGATTAATTCCCAGTATAAGTATTTAGCCAAGGAGGAAGACCTCAGGAGGCTGTGCTCTTACCTGTGGATTATAATCACATTTCACTGCTAGCATGGGTATCCATAGAGGATGTAAATGTAGGGTTTGAACTGAACTGTATTTTCTCTTCCTACTCTGCATTTTCTTTACTCTGAGCATCAAGGATCTCTGGATTCAAATTAATTCAGCAGAAGAAAACAATTGGATGAATTGATTTCTTTTTTATTGATAAACAACTTTCTGAGCTGTAGCTTAGTTGAGCAGGTAGAATATAAAGGCTCCAATTTTTTCAGGATGGCCATTCATTAGTCCTCTGACTCTGAAACCCCAGGTCAGAATTTGGAAGGAATTCACGTAGGGTGAAGACAGAACTATACCCCGGAGGTTCTGTTTGGATTCCAGCTGTGCAGGGTTCAGCTTGCTACTGTTCTCCCAGAGGAACCATTCTGCTTCCCCTAGGAATTCCTTTGAGGGGCTTCCTTTGTCCTGGCACACTCAGTGCTCAGGAATAGAGGGCACTGTGTTCTATGTCTGGTTTCAGTATATTCAGTATATTTTTCAAAAGACTTTGGAGGGAACCACTCGGGACAGTATGTCTCCACTAGGCCTTTATTCATCACATTTCCTCCAGCCTTTATCTTCAGAGCTCTTCCGGGCTTGTGTGTATTTGGAATCGCACAGTTAGTAAGTGGCAGACTAGAAGTAGAACCTAGGTGCATTTGACTCTAAAGTCTTAGAACTAGGATGGATGCCAGACAGCAGTGTGGATCGAAAAATAGACTCTGGAAAGAAGGCAGGGAACAGGAGGAAAAGAGAAGCTAAGGGATAAATGTCACCCCACTTGATGATTTCACTGCTAAACCTGCAAACAAGGAAAAGTCCTTAGATAATCAAGAGGCAGGAAGGACAGGGAAGTTCCCTCACCCTTCCCCAGAGTTCATAACTCTGAGCAAACATGACTGTTTACCCAAGGGAAGTTTTTGCTTATAGAAACTCAAGACTTCTCCAGAATTTGAAAAGAAAGAACTGAACTTTTACCTGGAATGAGAGTAACATGCTTCTATCGACTGGGGGAAATTGAGGAAGGATGTAGCTCAAGGACATCAAGATAGTGGCCCATTAATCACCTAATATCTGGCTCCTGCTTCTATGTGGCATAATCAGCTCTGGTTGCAGGGTAGATGCAGTCTAAGAACAGAAGTCTCACTCTGCCCCTGTCAACCTGCCCTCTGATGCGGGAAACAAAGGCAAAAGGAAATGGCAGATAAAATTAAATTTCCTTATGACCTGCAGCCCTTTGATAAATACTTGAGGCAGGCAGAGTATAACATGTCTCCAGGAACTCCCTACTGTCTTCATGTTAATACTTTGCTAGGGGGAAAAACAACCTTTGCTTGACAACAGCTAGGCTTCCAGTATCCATGAGTCTTCTTTACCATGTGAAAATACCTTTGGAAACTTCCCCTGGACTTTATCTCTCCCAACTCCCAGGTGTATAATCAGTCTCTCCTCACAATCCCCAGGCAGCTCTTCCTTCCCACAGGTCCTGTCCCCCTGCTTTAACAAAACCACCTTTTTGCACCCAAGTTGTCTCAAGAATTCTTTGTTGACCATTGGCTCCGGACCCTACCATCACTCCAAACCACATCACCTACCAAGCTCCTGGCAGAAATTGGTATTGTCCTCTAACACCATTGGAACCACGTTGCCCAGGGCCTGTCACCTCTGCACATGTCCACCAACCTGTAGAAGTTATTTATTAGCCAGTGCAAGAAATGCCTGAGAAGTGAGCTTATCTTTAATTTCAGGTGATGTAATCATTTGTGTTGAAAGTAAATGCTTGGGTGGTACAGTGGTTCTAATCCATCTTAACTATTTAAGTCAGGGGTCAGCAAACTTCTGTCATAGGCCTGATTTTTGTATGGCCTGTGGGCTAAGGATGGCTTTTACATCTTTAAATGGCTGGGGGGAAAATTTCAAGAAAAGAGTAGTATTTTGTGACTCATGAAAATTATATGGAATTCAAATTTCAGTGTCCATAAATGAAGGTTTTTGAAACATAGTCATGCCTATTCATTTGTAAATTATCTTAGACTGCTTCCACACAGAACTGAGTAGTTGCACAAGAGACCATATGATCCACAAAGCTGAAAATGTTTACTATCTGACCTTTTAAGAAAGATTTTGCCACACCCTGATTTAAACAGCGTTTCCCTGTTTCTTGAGTGCTATTGGGCAAGCTGTGCTGGTCAGACCCACCCTAGCAGAAGACACAGGCCAGGGTTTATCAAATGAGGCGTCTGATTGAGTTGTGATGGGAACCCATGACCTGTTATCAATGTTTCGAAAGGCATGATGAAAAAGACACATTTGCCCCAAAGCTTTGCAAGTAAACAAAATGTCAAACTTCTTCCTTTTTAAAAATTTTTTAATGTTTTTATTTATTTTTGAGACCGAGAGAGACAGAGCATGAGCAGGGGAGGGACAGAGAGAGGGAGACACAGAATCTGAAGCAGGCTCCAGGCTCTGAGCAGTCAGCACAGAGCCCGATGCGGGGCTGGAACTCACGGACTGTGAGATCATGACCTGAGCTGAAGTCGGACACTTAACAGACTGAGCCACCTAGATGCCCCACTTCTTTCTTTTTTTAAGAAATTCTGGAATTCTAAGAACTGAGATAAGGGGGAGAGGAAATTTGCTCTGGTTGAGTTCTCACCATGTGCCAACTCTGTGGGTAGAAATAATTTCCCCCATTTTTACAGAGGAGGAAATAAAGATTCACAGAAGTTGCATAGCTTGCCCAGGGTCACACAGCTTATTGTAGCAGAACTTGGATCTGTGCAGTTTTTCAGACTCCGGAGCCCTATTCTTCCTTTATGTCATGTTTCTTCGTCTCTTCCTGCAGCTTGGAGCTTGGGCTGGAGGCTAATGTGGTATCAAGTTAGACAGGAAAATATTTACTGAACATTTGGTAGAAAAATCTTTCAAAATATGGAGTCCATGGAAAGGAGGGAAATAAAAGAGGATTTAGTGCTAAAAGTATTGAGTATCATCTTGAGACCCTTTTTTTACACGTGGCATTAGACACAGTTCTATTGATAGAGGGGAGATGGCGCCTACAAAGCATGGTGATCTAAACTAAGGAATCAGGAAAGTAGGGAAAAGAATACTGATGATTTGGTCAATGGTGGTGCCTATAATTTGACTCTGGCCTCTCTAGAAAGTATACCATATTCTATGATTCTGTAGCTTAGACTAGCAGCCACATTTACATCTGAACTGCATTGTATTTTTGAACAGTCTCCAAGCATCCATAAATTAATAGGCTTGGTATGTGCACAAAGCTATGTCTGGGGCTCTAGAACCCTGCCAGGAATTGTGTTCATTTGTGGCACTTGGTAGTTACAAAGTTCTGCACAAACTTGTCAGGGTAAGAGAGCACGTCAGTGTTCTGTGTTCTTTTATGTGATGACCAGTCAGGTATAGCCACAAGAAGGGAACAGAAGGGACCTGGGAGAACAAAGTTTATTATATTCGCAGGTCCTAGAAACAAGATGTATGCCACGCCATACAAAGCCACATGGGAAAGCATCTGTGTGGGCCAGGAGCAAGGAGAGTGCTGAGACCATACCCTGAAAGGCATGGCAGGGCTGGGTTGAATAATTCCAGTGGGTTTTGGGTTGTAGAGGTGATCTCTAGTAGTCTATTAACTAGCCCTGGGATGAATAAAGCAGAGGAATATTCCCTCCTCAGGTGCAAGGGTCAGGTAGAGGAAGTATGGCTCTGGATGCTTGGTTTGCATATCAAAGCCATGCTCCCTGCCAAATCCTTTGCTATTTCTAGGAACTATCTAGCCCAAGGAGGAGCAGTATCATCCTTAGCCAGAAAGGTCTTTGAAGATGTCAAAATATCCATAATAAACAGAAAATAAATTTTAAGATATAAGCACTGTAGTCAAAGATTGAACTAGTAAGACATGAGCAAAGCGGGACCCAGAGACTGAGAGAAAGAGAAATCTTTCTATAGATTGGTGGGAGAGGAGAGCAGGAATGATAGGAAAGGAGCCAACCAGGAAGAGGTTGTACAAGTTCCTAGACTTCTGTGCTCTTGGTTTGGGCTGAAAATAAATGTTTCTATTAGAGTATTCTGCTATTTGGTACCACTGTTTTAAGTAGATCTATATGATCTATATGTGCCAGAAGACAGATGTGGGTGTGGAAAGTACCATGGTCATTTAGAGGAAGGTCAGAAGCAGCTGTAAATGAGCTCTGCCTCACTGGGGCTCCTACTAGGCTGAAAAGTCAAACACATTTTTGTATTTGGGACAGTTCCTGCACTTTGCCTTGTGCATAATTGGTGCTTGATACATCACTGTCACATGGGTAGCGAGTGAGTAATGTGTCCCTGGCAGGGCCCATTGAGAATCATTAGAAAACATGTGAAAGACATGAGCAACAGGAGAAAATGTTCTCATTGAGCAACTCCAGGCTCCATCCTTGAGCTATCAGGATAAGTCAATGATTGTATCTAGTCTCTCAGTACAAAACATTTATTCAACTATCTTTTGCTAATTCTTATTAAAATGTGAAAAGGTGGTATGATTTTTGCGGTTTGATGTAAAAGTATGGAGCTCCCTTCATCTGTCTTTGAACTTAACTTCATAAGCCCCTTCTGCTGATGGCAAAAAAAGATGAAACTTCCTAATGCCACCTCATCCAGCCACAGGTAGAGCTTAAAAGTGGTCGGTTGGAGATTTAAAATAAGTCAATTTAAGAATAATTAATCCCCATTTCCCTTTGTTTTAATGGCCTCCTATTCACCCTGTTGGTAAGTGAGGGATTACTTACCAACTTAGTTCCAGGGACACTAAACGCTGGGCAGAGGAGATCAACAGCAGTTTACCAGTCGTCTACATCCCAGGGGAAGAGGACACTGCATGCCATGCAGGGCCACAGAGGAACTGCACCCGGGGAACAAAGTGAACAACCAGGGACTATGGGAGACAGGCTTTGTGGTATCAGGAGTGTATGATGTCCCCTCATTTGTGCAGGAGGATGTGATTGGTTCATTTGAATATTTTCATGGTCTGGCAACAGACAGAAACCACTAAGGGGGTAAGCAGGGATTGCCCTAGGTCCCTTCAATAAGAAAGATTATTTGACTAAGGGACCTTATCTGTGAGAGCAGAGTGGAGAGGAAACCTTTTGGTTAGGCCATTCCAGGCCCTCCTGATTTTACCATAATATTGGACCTAAATTTTAGGTCTTACACTGTACTTTTCTCTTCCTTCATTCCTCTCAGAGATGATGTAAGCTCCTGGGTGTGCTTATAAGTCATCCTAGCAGTTGAGGAGGAATGGCTACATCACCTACCCATTCTGGATTATCTTGTTCAACCTCAGATCTCTTCTGATTGGCCTGATGCTCAGCATTCCATGTAGATACCCTTCTGTGGGGGCTCTGGCACTCCTCAGGGCTTTCCCCAACACTTTGATTGTCTGCTAGTCTCTGGGAGGCTACCTCATTTCCCTCAGGGCTAGTATCTTCCTCAGTCATTGCTAATCTCCTTTTTGATGTCTGCTTTGTGCAAGACTTGAGCCAAGCCCATGGAAGATCCAGACAAACGGTCCCTTCTGTTTTAGGATATCCTCTCCTCAGTTTACCCTATGTCAGCATCTTTTTTTTTTTTTTTTTTTTTTTTT